AAGAAGAAGAAGAAGAAGAAGAAGAAGAAGAAGAAGAAGAAGAAGAAATAATTAAAATGAGGCCATTATTTTTGAAAAAGAATCCAGGGGTATTTTTTGAAAGTGTTGTCTATTCGAGATGTTCATTGTTTGGTGTATTGTGAGAACTCTATTAATTTATTAATTTTACTCACTAAATTGTGCATAATGTGATCACACAGAGAGATTCTATATATTATATTTTATTTATTTTACATATTTATTTTTTTTGTCAAGAATGCATTAGAAAACAGGTATACGTATAAACATAATTATGAATACATGAAATGGATATGAATCAAAAGGACACATTAGGACAGGAATGGTAGACACGTTGGTGCGCTTACTCACATCCCTTACAGACCTCTTAGGAATGGGGCAAGGTCAACAGTAGACAATCTAAGGTTAACATTTTTGGGGTTTGGGGAAGAAACCACAGAGTCAGGTAGTGTATTCCAGACATTGACCACTCTATTGCTGAAGTTGTATTTCCGCAATCAAGTTTAGTGCAGTTTCCCTTGAGTTTGTATCTATTGTGTGCTCGTGTATTGCTGTGATTGAAGCTGAAGTAGTCATTGACAAGTAGGACATTTCAACAGATAATTTTATATACTACATTTAGGCCGGACCGAAGGCGGCATAGTTCTAAGTTGTCTAAGTCTAAAATTTCAAGTCTGGTGGCAAAACGTATTCTGTTGCAAGTAGAGGAGTGGAGGACTCTTTTTGTGAAGTATCTCTGGACTCTCTTGATAGTATTAATGTGTGATATACAATGCGGGTTCCAGACAGATGTGCTGTATTTGAGAATTGGTCTACCAAATGTTTTGTATTCTCTGTTTAGTAATACAATATTACCAGAAAAAAAGCTATGCAGGATTAGGTTAACAACTCTTAATACCTTTTTGGTTATGTAGTTACAGTGGGATATAGCACTTAGATCATTAGAGATGAGTACTCCAAATGCCTTGGAAAACTTGACATTTTCAAAAGTACAAAGTTCTTAATTTTCAAAATGTATGCATTTTTATTTTTTATTTTTTTATATATTTATCTCATATTGTCTTGCCACGACAGCCATTCAGTTCCACCATTTCCAAAACAATATATCTATGTGGGGTCTTTTTCTCCAGAACAGTTCACCAAGAAATTCTACTGAGTCTATGTTTACTTTCTTTAAGTTTTGAAATGGATTGTTTAGGTGAATCTAAAACAAATGCTGATGCAAACTGCTCAACATATGCTTTTTAAACTTTTTGATAAAACTAATTGCTGAAATGATTTCTAAAAATTAACTGTCAGAACAAACTGCTGAACTATATCACAGTGAAATAACAACGTCCTGGAAACCTTTTCTAATCAGTTTTAGTCAATCTGCCATATACAGCGTAACTTATGACCCGAAGAGAACACCTCCTAATGTCTTGTTTCAAGAATGATTGTGTTTGGATTGCATCGACTTCTGCAGAAAACAGCCCAGCAATGGTATTAATCAAGGAGAGTAGACCATCACAAAAGCATTTTGATGGCAAGTGGGGAGAGCGCAAAGTCCAGGAGTATGTGCTGTTATTTTGTTAACAAGGGATGG